ATGAGCTAAAGCAGATAAGTGCTAAACTGTTTAAGCTTCTCGTTAGTTGTAAATAACTGAAATTTGTTTGATGAGCTAAAGTAGAGAAGTGTTGAATTGTTGAAGCTCCTTTTTAGTTGAAAATAACTAAAATTTATTTGATAAGCAGAAAAATGAAAGAGATGAACTGTTGAAGCTCCTTGTTAGTTGAAAATAGCTGAAATTTCTTTGATAAGCTGAAGCAGGGAAGTGTTGAACTGCTAAAGCTCCTTGTTAGTTGGAAATAACTTAAATTTGTTTAATAGGCTAAAGCAGGGAAGTGCTGAACTATTAAACTTTTTGTTACTTGAAAATAGCTGGAATTTGCTTGATGAGCTGAAGTATGGAAGTGCTGAACTGTTGAAACTCCTTGTTTAAATTGAAAATAAAGTACGCTTTTGATACTCGTGCCAATTATTTAATTTTTTTTGCACGTTACCAAGAAAAGAAAGGTAAAGCGATTTGACTAATACACGTACCATCCATTATATATTGAATGTGCAATGATGGTCAAGCTGTTGCATTTTGAAGTGAAGCGTTGAGGCACGTTTGTAAAGATCACGCATTAATCCGAAGTGTTAACGAGAAAAACTGTTTGAATTCAATGCCTTAGATGATGTTAAAAATGGACGTTTCAGATAGAGTGGATCTAGATCAAATGGCTATGCTTTGTCTTCCCTTTTTATAAAAGCCAAAATACCATCAGTGTATTAGTTTTTTACTTTTGCAAAAACCTTCAAATCTTTGTAGTATTCAAAAATCTTCTGGTCATTTCTATTCTCCGACGACCTCATGTTCTTAGAGCTTCTATCTATTTAGGCAATTTCCCTATTTTCCATCATTCATTCCATCTGTTTTGATTTCAATGGCTTCTGGGTCCAGTGCAAGTACTAACAGGGTAAGCCGTGCAAGGGTTGGGGAACAGGCTTTACCTGGGGAGTCGAACTGAGGTTGTGGGCCATGAGTGAGGGTCCTATTAACTACAAAACGAGGTGGGGCATATGAGGATCTCTTCTGCTATGACCTCTGCAAAGTTAGTCGAGATGAGAGAGAAATTTAGAATCCCATATTCTATTGAACTTCTAGAACCCGAGGCGCCTACGAAAGTGCCTGATATCCGAGGTCGGGGTGTGTGGCTGTTGGTGAATTTCTTTTTAAGGCGAGGATGTGTCTACCTCTATACCCATTTTTTAGGGTGGTAGTGAGGTTGCATATGTTGGCTCCAATCCAACTCTTACCAATTAGTTGGGGCTTACTTCCTTTGGAAAGAGACCTCACTTACCAAGGACATGCCCCTACATGTCTTTCAAACACTTTTCCGACCCCGTGATCTTGGGAAAGGGGAGTCAAAGAGGTGGTACTATATGATCCCTTGGGGGGCCCATGCCCCTTTCGTAGTCGGTTTGGCATGATCCATTAAAGGGTGAAAGGAATCGTGGTTTTGGGTGAAAGGTAGATGGTTGAGGCATATAAGGCCCTACTTTGCACTATGCCGACCCAGTATTCCGAAGCTCGTCAATTTCTTTTTTTAAACTTGTCGTTTGCATGTAACAACTTTGTTATCTGATGACATGTACTAAACACCGCAACTTATATAACTTCTAATTCCATATTCCTTAATCATATCCCTCCTAGCGCTATCACCCTCTGATGCATGCAACAAATGGAGGCAAGAAGCAAGAGGGCATGAGGGTGGTGGTGCACATAATTGTCAAAGAATACTTCATTTACAGAGACACTTGATATTTACTCTGTGGATAAAGCCTCACAACGAGATAAATAATAGGGTTCATCTCAAGGATAGTCAATAGACTAATGTCTAAGGAGAAAGATTCAGCAAATCAACAATCAGAGTCGAACACCGTGTCAAAGAAACCCCATCAGAGTCGAACACCAATCAGATGAAACCTACGCTTCACTCGTCAAGCTCTCTAGATGGAGATATACTAGGTTCAAATATATGTTTCTATTCCCAAACTCGATGCCTTCTCAACTTTTTCTTTCTTTCTCACCTGATGCTATTCTTTAAAAGGTTCTATGACTGGTTTTGAGATTCAAATTATGGAGATGAATAATGATGGGCGAAGTACTCTTTAGTTACTTGAATTTTCGTATTTCCTGAACCGATCATAACTTTCAACTGCAGAAGAAACTAACAATTAATGTTTTCATGCATGCATCGTGCTCTATCTGCCAGGAATATCTATATAGATAAAACTATAATTATGTTTATCAAACATAATAAGCTGCACGTATATTTTAGTGAATGTAAGTAAATTGGATTTTTTTTTTGGGTAATGGTGTATTAAGTAAATATGCGATCTTTTAAGCTTACCATGTGCTAAATAATGTAAAAAAAATCGTATCCCGCTTTACTCTTTTGAGTCCTACGTTTAATAGCCTCAAGCGGAGGCCAATCCAACTTAGGCAGTAGAGCATGGAGGATGGGGGCAAGGTAGTCAAATGGGGGGACTTCAAAGTCATGGTTACTATTAATCTCTATTCAGCAGCCAAGCCAGTCTTGTGGGTATGGAACAGCCATTCTTTCCTCATCCTGTTTGTCTAAGTCAATATCAATCTCTATTCAATAGCCAAAACAATGGCTGCTATCCCTCTTCGAAGGTCCCACTCTTTTCAAATTTTTATACAGCACCTAACACTGACATCTAAGCAATTGGATTTCTGTTGATGATTTCAAAAGTAATATTCATGCTCTGGATAGATCACTAAACTTTCTTGTGAGACTCGGGCTTATGTTTCTTAGCTATTCTAATTCAGTTATCTGATAGATCTAGTTTCCACCATTTCGTCTTCAAATGCATCAAACAGATTGCCCCGGTGTCTTCTCTAACAACATGTTCATGTATTTAGGTCATCCTAGTCACAGCCTGGTTATAGTGCTATAGCTTCTGCTTCTACCCCTGCTGAAAATAAATAAAGACAAGAAAAGAATGCACAAAATTTGTTAGTCTTTCATAGCTTGGTGCACAAGTGCACATTGGTCATATTGATTCAATATATCTCTCTTTTTTTTGGGAGTTTCAAATGATGTGTGTCTTCTGCTGGATTCATTCCTTGCCAGTTCTAGGCGAGAATACTGCAGACTCGTAACTAGTCTCTCGTCACATTCTTTTCTTTCTACTTCTTTGCATCTTATCACATCTCAAGCATTAGCAATTCCAACTTCTTTCCCCATCCTAAGTTTCAACTTTGATGGTCGAGTCAATGAGAAATAGTGGAAGTTCACAATTTACAACTAAAAGTTTCCCACTGCTAGAGACCACACATTATGTAGCCCAAAAGTTAGACAGTTGCTAGAAGGTGCACTGCCTTTCAGTGAGCTTCTACTCTTACAATTGATTCAATTCCATAATCAAATATTTTATCACTATTTCTCTATACAACTTTTTTTGCATAAATATATGAGCAATCAAAGTAAGATAACAAAAAATATAATGATTTAAGGTTAACTTCGAATTATCAACACCTCACATCACTGAGTCATCAAATATCATTTGTTGCGTATACCGCAGAATAAGGACAGTCATCACTCAAAGAGTGACATTAAACTAATACCATATGAAGATAATCAATAGCAACAAGTTTCAAACTTAAATTTCAAATATTGACCTCACTCTGGAAAGGGTATAATAATGTAAGAGATGCAAAATTTTCCTGTTTCAGCTGCTCAAGTGTTCAGATATCCTTCAGACTCATATATCTTAAGGATAAATTAGAGTGATTCATTGGCAAGGAAACTTAAAAACTCATCTACCGAGCAAAATTTGAATGGTCTGCAACCTTCCACTGGATAGCAAATCCAAAAAAGTTACACTATAAAGTGGGAATTGGTGGGGATTTTTATGGTCTGTTTGTGTATGGGTATGTGTGTTTGTTTGTGTGTTGG